GTGCATCGTCTGCACCAAGCACAATCACCTCCCAGCATTACAAGCACTGCACTCCCAAGCATAGCCACAAATATTAGTGGCTTTCAGCTTCAAATTGCTGCCTCAAGGCATCCCTGATCCTTATGGCCCTGTGCTGCGCCCCTCTAATAGCTGGTCTCCGACTGTTCAAATTCAACCTCCAGGTGCTGAGCCTCAGCGGTCCAGCCCTGAGTGAAGCTTTCACCCTTCCCTTCACAAATATCACGGAGTGTACAGCATGTGGCTGTAAGCATAGGAGTATTGTCATCGGCCAGGTCCCACCTCCTATATAGGCAGTACCTGTGGGCCTTTAAACAGCCAAAAGCACACTCAACAGCCATTCTGCACTTGCTCAGCCTGTTGTTGAACAGCTCTTTGCTGCTGTCAAGGTGCCTTGTGTGTGGCTTCATAAGCCACGACATTAAGGGGTAGGCAGGGTCTCCCGCGATCACAATGGGCATTTCAACTTCCCCTATGGTGATCTTCTGGTCCAGGAAGAAAGTCCCGGCTTGCAGCTTTTTGAACAGGCCAGTGTTCCGAAAGATGCATGTGTCATGCATCTTTCCTGGCCAGTCTGCGTTAATGTCAGTGAAACACCCACAGTGATCCACAAGCACCTGGAGAACCATAGAGAAATACCCCTTCCAATTAATGTACTTGGTGGCTATGTGGTCTGGTGCCAGAATTGGAATATGCGTGCCATCTATCGCCCCTCTGCAGCTAGGGAAGCCCATTTGTGCAAAGCCATCTGTAGTAAGATGAGGCCCTGAAACATAAACCCTTGATATCAAAGCCCCGCTATGGGACCTAAGGCCTGAGCTAAAGTAATGGTCAAGACGTTGCTAACATAAAGCAAAGTTAAGCTGTGAGCCAGAGGCAGGCCCTGCTCACAGAAGCTGGCAAGGAAAGGGCTGATGTTCCATAAACATATGCTGTTGCACAAACAAATGCCTAAAGTGGATTAGATATCAGAGCCGTACACAAATGGTACAAGAACATTCTTATACCGTCCACATAGATAACAAGGACAGAGGCAAAAGGCTAGTATGATGGATAGAGTTGTTTTGTTCGACCCACCATGTACAAGGTGAGAGGCAGCACCTTCCTGCGTAGAAGGGTGGTGCATTGTTACATAAAGGGGTTGCACCTCAATACGTCAGGAGTGTTATGTAACTTGGTTCTACCTGTGTATAAGAATACATCCCTGGGGCAGTGTCTTTTGTCCGGCCTAGGGGGCAGTGGAAAATCCTGCCACTGACTAAGCTGTGTCCATTGTCAGGGAGCACATAGGGACAAGCAACAAACTGTATATAAGTTATATGAATCGGGGAGTTAGAGATTGTGTTTCTCTTCGACAATAAACCTGGCCAACGTGCCTTTGTACCTTACTAGAGTTTGTGGTCACTGGGGGCTCTGTCAGGGTCTGCTGTGATAGCAATCTGCAGAGCCGGGGCAGCACACAGAGGGACTATACGCATGCAGCTAACTGATATCAATATCGAGCAAGAGCACATCACACCTGTGGCAACTGACAACACCATCCACAATGTCACACACGTTGCCCAGAGTCATGGTCTTTCGGAGCAGGATGCAATTAATGGCCCTACACACTTCCTTGAACACGCATCCAACAGTAGATTTTCCCACTCTGAACTGGTTAGCGACTGATTGGTAGCAGTCTGGAGTAGCCAGCTTCCACAGTGCAATTGCCACACACTTCTCCAATGGCAGGGCAGCTCTCATTTTCATGTCCTTGTGTCGCAGGGCTGGGGCGAGCTCATCACAAGGACCCATGAATGTGGCTTTCCTCATGCGAAAGTTCTGCAGCCACTGCTCGTCATCCCACACATGCATGATGCTGTGATCCCACCACTCAGTGCTTGTTTCCCAAGCCCAAAAGCGGCGTTCTACTGTGGTCAGCACCTCCGTGAATGCCACAAGCAATCTTGTGTCGTAGCTACCATAGGCGCCAACTTCCCCACATTCCCCTGGGTGCTCGACCCCCCCCCCGCCCCAGGTCCCACCCCCACTCCACCCCTTCCATGAAGCCATGCCCCTGCCCACCTCTCCCCACCCCTTCCCCACCCCCATTCTAACCCCTTTCCCAAAGTCCCCGCCCCAACTCCGCCCCCTCCCTGCCCCTATTCCAACTCCTTCCCCAAATCCCCACTCTCGCCCTGCCTCTTCCCCTCCTCCTCGTCCTCTGAGCATGCCACGTTCCTACTCCTCCCCTCCGCCCCCCCCCAGAGATGCTGTTGGCAGCAGCCGGGTGGGAAGCACTAGGAGGTAGGCGGAAGAGCAGGGACGCGGCACGCTCAGAGGACGAGGAGGAGGGGGGGTGAGGGGAGCTTGGCTTCCAGTGGGTGCAGAGCATCCACAAATTTTTTCCCGTGGGTGCTCCAGCCCCGGAGCACCCACGGAGTCAGCGCCTATGGTAGCTACTACGAGTGGTGAGATCAATGTCGAACTCCTCTTGCCTCTGTAGTTTAAGGAATAACTCCACTGCCTCTCATGACACGTTAGTCAGAGCGAGCAGCATACTGGTCAACAGTGCGGGATCCATTCCTGCAGACCGAAGAGGCAGAGCACGCAGTACACAAACCGTTGAAAGATGTCACCAAATGCAGATGGAAGCACAGAGATTGCTGGGACACGAAGCAATGCATCATGGGGTATTGGGACAGGACCCAGGATGCCCCGCGACCCCCTCCACCTTCCCACAACTCTTAGCGGTGGAAGAGGAAGAGATGCTCTGTGGGGTAGCTGCCCAGAGTGCACCGCTCCGAATACCACTGCAAGTGCCACAAGTGCCATGCTATTGTGTAGACAGCTGATAGTGTGAACACACAACAGCGGTTTCCCTTCTGCGCTCTCTGAGCGGCACTGTAACTTTCAGTGATGTAACTCTGACAGTGTAGACATACATTGAGACATACAAATTGAGTTAAAGCCACTTTAATTCTAAATAAGAGTGTCCACACAGGGGTCCAAAGTGAATTAAGCGAAAGTGAATTAAGAGCACTTTAATCCTAAATAGGATCTTCCATAAAGGGGTTTAATATAGTTTAACTAATCCACTTTGAAAGTTAATTCAGATTAGCTTTCCTGAATGCCTCCATGTAGCCAGGCCCTTAGCGTTAATTCAGTTAGGGCTTGTCTAGGTTTACAGTTAGTGCAGGACAGACTGGGGTATAAATTTACACCGCGCAATGACTATCCATGTGGAACCGACTGCTCCAGAGTAAAAGTTTCCTAGTGCACTTTGATCTACCCTGCTTTGAAATGGGAGTAGATCAAAGCACACTAGGGTACTGTTAGTACGGGGCAGCAACATCCACGTGGGCAGTTAGTATGCAGCACACTAGTGTAAGGTAGATTTACACCCCAGTCTGCCACACATGAACTGTTCCTCTAGAAAAGCCCTTAGTGTTAATTAAGGAATCTTCTTGGGACAAGTCCCATACTCCATGTTCAATAGAACACAGAACACACTCTTATTGTCCCCAAATACACAGCCATTAATAATAAACTAAAGGAATTAGAGATCACTGTTCCTCCTGTGCCATCTTTGCCTTCCTATGGTTATAGTCAATGGGGAAAGAGCTGCACTTTTTAATATCACACAGGAGTTTAGATGAGGCACGGTTTCCAAATGCCCAGAGCAATAATTTTATTACAGAAGCAATAAACCATGCAAACATCCTGAAGTTATTAAAACAAAAATATCTGTGAATTGACTATAAGGAAGTGGACTAGAGAAAATATAGATTGTGAGTGTACCCACTAGGGACATGAGACTTCCTACAGGGTAAGAGTCTAACTCCTTTTCTCACAGTAAGTAGTGCCTTACTTCTTGAACAACTCACCTGCTTTCATTGAGACCGTTCAATAAGTTAGGTACTAGAGCACGGGAGCAAGGTTGCCCGGATTTGGCCCATACTGAAATTCGATGGATCAGAAGAATGGCTTCTACACTGATGGGCACACAAAGAGCCTGCGTCTCCTCTCAAACATCAGAAGTAACTGGATTAAAATCAGTGGAGTTATGCGGTTTAAAAGCAGTATGAGTGAGACCAGAATCCAGACCCAGTGAGCCGCCAAAAAAAAACTGCAGCGGCAGCTCTTGTGTAGCCACAGGAGACGGTAAGAAACTAAAATAACAACATATTTGAAAAATAGTTGGAGGCCTTCCTTTATCTATAATAGTTTAACATACAAACACCTTCCATCACAAAAAAAATCACAAAACAGGTTTTCTACTTTTACAAATTGTCAACAGAGCACACAAAACATTTACTGGTCTATTGAAATAAATACTATCGTCTCAGTGACTGCGTGCTCAGGCCTGCCCTCCTGTACCCTGCTACATGTACATTATGCTGCAGCCATCTTGCTATGGCAACTGTGAAATTCAAACTTTATAGCCTGCGAGATTTCCCATATTTGAAACCTCAGTGCCAAACAGTGATGCTCCTGACAGGATAGTATTATGCACAAAGCCACCTCCAGGTGACCCAATCTGGCAGGTGGTTTTGGTCGTGGCAAGTCATTTTGCTCATGCAGCATTTATAACTCACAAAAGTGTAATTATTCTTTTTGCAAAAGCTCCTTAATTGTCACATGTTGTTATAGCTTTGCAACGTATCTGGCAGATAGCAATACAGTATATACATGTAAATGTGTTATGCACATAGATCCATTAACCTTATTGGCGTATGTAAACATCCCTCTTTCCAAAGCATTTAGAGCATTGTGTTTATATGGATCTAAGTATTTTACGAATGAGCATCAACATTAACCTCTTGCTCCCTAAACCAAAAGGGTTTGAGCGGCCTGAGGTTGTATTGCTCCCAGATCATGAGAATCTGAGCCTCATGTTGCTCAACAGTGACACCCGCTGGTCATTGAAGCAAAACATTGATAGAGCTAAGAGGGAGCTGCCGAGAGACGCCTCGAAAGAACAGACTCAACCATCTAAAAAATTCAGTATTACATATAGCAAGTCTCATTTTTAATGTTACCAAATTGCTTCTACATAAAACAGTGAACTGAGGCTGATTGTTCTTAAGAATCTTACTACTGCTGCAAAATTACAATATTGAAAACCACATATTGATTTCATATTAAAGGAATGGATGCTTTTATGTTTTCAGATGCTTTTTCTATTTGAAAGTAGAGTGCAGACAAAAGAGCCTAGTCCTGATGGAAAATTAGAAAATCATAAAATCCATGTAGCGCTCATGGTTACAGATAAAGGCAAACTGATCTATCTATAGACTAGCTCTTTAACTCTTCCTAGAAGAAGAATATTTGTAAACAGGGGCATCATTTCAGCAAAATTCTGGTGGGAGGCATTCTATGTGATTATGTTATACCCTGCAAAGCTGGGGCTGGGGGGGGGGGCGGGAAATGGAAAACATAATGAAGCAAATAGACCTATGAAAGTTGAGGGGGCAACTGCCCCTGAGTCCCCTAGCAAATGATGCTCTGGTTAGTAAATTACTCAGGGAGTTTTATATTTTTTTTAAATTTTGTTTTTTAAATGAGCCATGTTGTTATTGGTTAATTTTGGTCAGCTGGCTAAAGGAAGGGTTGATTTTTTTCACAGGTAAAAGATTTATGGTGTTTCTTTGAAATCCCTTTTAAATTCCTCACAATGTTCCAAAATGGTCTGTTAACAACATTGGTATTTCTGGAAGATGCATTTCTCTGTGAAGCCCCAATAGGAATGCTTATTCCTACCAATAAGACCCTTGAATGCTGGAGTACTGTCTTCTGATTTATGTAAAGCAGCTTTCTCCTAGCACAAATCACTGAAGGGCCCATATCTGTACAACACCCTGCCTGGCTAAGTAATTTGGAGGCTGTTGATTACCTGTCCAGAATTTCTTTGAGCCACATGTAAAGATTTTGACCCATTCCTCACAGAATACCAGGGATAGACTCATTATTCACATTTCCGACCACCCCTTTTTGCACTTGCACCATATAAGAAGCTGACCTACAGCTAGTTTAAAACACTCTGTACAGCATATTTGTAAGGGCACCTGTTACATCTGTAGTAGTGTAATATCTCTAGTAAAGTTGTCAATCACTTGTGCTGCACTAAGTTTTTTGTTTCAACCTTTGTGTTTCAAACATCTATCGAGTCAAAAAAGGTAAGAAAAATACAGGAGCTCAATATGCTCATGGTGATCTGTTTCAGTCTCCTGCTGGTACTCTGAATTTTTTAAGCTGTTTGGATTTTCTGAAAAATACCTATGCACAGAGCTAGAGGGCAAATTCCCTGCTACGCAGAGCTCTCTTTTCTTTAGGGCCTAATCCCATTCCTCTCAAACTGCATTGCAAACCTTCCATTGACTTTAGTAGCATAGGAAAACGGCACTGAAATACACCAGAAAAGGACACACCAGCATTCTAAGTAGCTCTTCTTCCCAAATCAGATTCTAAAAAGCAGAAGCAGTACTGAAGAAAGACACACACAAGAGCAGGAGACTGGAATATTCCATTGCTGCGGTAACTTCTATTTTTTATTCTTCTTGCCCGTTCACAAAAACACATTTAACTGAAAATTATACACCTCCGTCTGTGTGTCAGTGCAAATCTGCTAGAGTTGCCCTGTCGCACACCTGTCTCTGAGATTATAAAATGTTTTAATTTGTTATTTGATGGATAGTAAGAAGTGCTCATTTAGGTCCTGATCTGAAGCCCATCAAAGACGATGGACTCCCCTTAATGTCAATGGACTTCATATCAGGCCCCTTTATTGTACTTCGCATTGGACAAACAGCAGACACAGGCACTTGATTATGCCAAGCAGAGACAGACAGGCTCAAGGTCTCTTATTTGTAAAAGTTCTCCATGCTCACAAGCCAAGGAAAGGTGTAATTAATGTCCCTGTGGACATCTTCAGGAAAACAGTGAGCTCTTAAGTTAATTGTTATTATTTATATAGGGACTGACCCATCCAAAGCACTTAAACATGCATGTTACTTTAAGCAAACGAGTGGTCCCATTGAAGTGGGGCCATAATACTCAACATATGCTAGATTATGGTATTTTTATTCTGACACGTTACAACTTCTTTTTAACGGGGTCTCTGATATACAACATTGGCTTATAATGCACTTCTTACACATAAAAAATCCTGATGAAGCTCTTTACTATAGTTCTTTTCCATGCTTCAAGTTTGTGTCTTTCTCTGTCTGGGCTCCATTAGTAAATCATTTTAATGCAATTAGCCCAATTCAAATTGAACTATAGCACTGCTGATACAGTAGTCTATGGTTTTAAAAAGTAAACTAGCATGATGCTGTGTACTGCACCATGGTAGATGTGGATACAGAAGAGATTGTTGGGGGTCTGATTTTGTGGCCCACACATTAGGAACATGATGAAGAGAAAGGAAGAAAGGGGAGGATGAGACAGGAAAGCAGAGAGAGGTGATGATGGCCTTTGGTTGTAGGAGCATCACTTGTTGGGCAAACCACAGAATGTTCTTGGAGGAAGCTGCCCATCCTGCAAGTCTGGTGGATCCTTCTTCAGTAAGGGTCAACCTCAGTGGAAAAAGAAAAACCACACAGACACACACATTCAGATGCTGAGGAGAGGACACTATTGCAAAGAACCTGCCCCTCCTCCTGCCCCTCCGCATTATCTAGACAATTGTCCCTTTCCCTTTCTGTTCTCAAGGAACAACATTATTATAGAGGTACTTAGAGTGTAGTCAAACCTTCAGAACATATCAGAGATGTATCAAGTACAATCTCATGCTAAGGAAAAGTCATTTAATTTTCATATTTTCTCACACGAGTCAAATCCTGTGGTCCTTCATGTTCAAAGATGGTTGCTCTATATGGGGCACTTGAATCCATATTGTTGCACATAACTGATGATTTGTGTACTTTGTTTAGTTGCCTAAAATGGATATAGGTGCTAAATATGGATTTAGGTGCTAAATTTTAGGCACTCATTTAGTGACAGCTACAGTCTGGCTGTAATGATAACCCCCAGGGATGTTAGAGGAGGAAGAATGAACTGTATGACCTTTTTCTTTCTAAACATCATTCAGCCACTGAGTTGTCATGAAGTCCACTATTAATAATCATTTCAATTGTCTAGGACTGGACAATTCCCATGCTACATGAAAACTGGGCCTTCGGCCCTTATCTTCTGAAGTCAATACGAGTTTTACCTGAGGAAGGGCTAAGCAAAAACTGAGTAAGAACTTAAAGATTTTGCTCAGAGTTTGTTATTTACCAATTCAACTTGCTTGCAAATAGGGTTGGCGCCTTCAAGTCCCAACTCTGTTATATTTATCTGACTCTGTAATTAAGTTAAAAAAACTTGAATTGACTCACAATTATTTGCCTGGCAACAGATTTTGAGGTCACAAGGAGATGACTTCACTATAGGATCAAGAGAAGGGGAAGGAATTTTGGGTGTGAGAGAAAGCTTTTGTTAAACCACAAATATCTTCTGAGACCAACTGTCGCAATAATAGCTCTTGCATTGTGATGGAAAAGGGACACAGGACTAAATATATCCCAATTTTTTCTCTCACTATAAATATTCTCTTTTTTCTAAGTTGGCTCTGGTGTGAAAGTCTTTCTTTAAATCCTTCCCCCTGCCCCCTTCTTACCAAAGAGAGAGAGAGCAACAGCACAACCAATGACTTTTTCAATGAGGTATTATTCATCAATCCAGTCCTGTCTAGCTTGAGACATTGGCTACTGTACAGTAAAAGCTCCAAGCAGCAGATCCCCAGCCTGTGTAAATTGTCAGAGCTCTGGTGTCTTCAGTGGAGCTAAGGATCTGCCCCTTGATGTCATGTGGTGGGGGAAAGGGGAGAGACACTGAATACCAGCAGCTGCCCTTAAAATTTTTCCAATCCCTTTGATAACTAAATAACATGACTTCAGCTCATGCAGAATTCTCTATCTTAAGTACAGGGATACTTTGTATATTTTGAGGTAATAGTATGTAGTTATCAAAGACAAAACTGAAAATGTATTAGGGCAACCACTATAATTTTAGATTATTAATGGTTCAGATAATCAAGGGGATTTTCTACATAATTAATATGGAGACACGGTCCTGTTTTGGATAATGAAGTGTTTTAGGTAATGAAGCTTGGACACACAAAAATGTTCCTGAAGGAGGAGGGGGGGTCTTGTACAAACTAGTTAAGTGATAATACTCCGTACACACTCCTATCTGTCATGTTCAAACTATTCATCAGATATGAAAAGAATCACCATCAGAATGAAATAATGAATCACATCCAATGATCTCATTGTGGTCCTTCAGGCATGGTCCTGGCATTTGACTATGAGCTACACAGCTCATAACAATTTGATTCACGCTTCATCCACAGCTCTAAGAGTTCTTATTTTAAACTGGCCATCAATGACAAGATACTCTCCAGCAGACAGGGGATACTCTTTTCAGTCTATACCATCTATCTATCACTAATATCTATAAGTGTCTGTGTACATTTGGCCCCAATCATTTTCTATTTTTACTGAATTATATCCTGCTCCAGAATTCAGCTGAGTATATGCCTGCCATTTGTCTCTACTTCCCATAGTGCTCCTGGGACGGTAATGGTCAAGGACATTGGATCTGCCTGGTCAACCACAATAATGCATATGTAATCCATGGAAATGCTCACTTCCCAATTTCAGGCCACTTAATCTGTTTCTTTATATTAGAGAAAGACCTTGGGGAGTCCTTGAGCATGCTCAATGGAATTCCTGTGATGTAATTGCCAAAAGCCTGGTTGCTATATATGGCAATTGTTCAAGACAGATTAGATGGCATACAACAGATGGGCTGTATTCTGGACTTGTCTACCCACTCCCAACCTCTGCCCCTCCTATTCATTATTGTGCAATGACGTTCAGATTACTGCTGGAGTAACACTGGACTTTATGCATATTCCATGTGGGTGTCAGTGTGGATTTGAAGCTGGACTGAATCATGGCATTATGAGCCATGAGCTCTCTACTTCTTTGGCTTTGACTATCTCACATGGAACACCTGTTTAGGTTGATCTGGGTTCAGGGAAGAGATTCTGTAGCAGGTTGACTATCCTACTCAGTATATCGCCATTAAAAGGAGCCAAGATCCAAATAAATTTATGTAGTTTCCATGTTGTGGAAGGCTATGGGTATTTATTGTTCAACTGACCCTCTCAAAAGCTAAATGTTTAAGAGCAGGGCCAGCTTTAACTACAAATAAAGTAATCTGTACCTTAGGGGCACCGTTTTTGAAACTTTGCAGAGATGACCCATGCCTTCCGATGCGGGGGGAGGGAGGTACAGTGAGGGCAGTGGCTTCAGCAGATGTTACTGAGCATGCTCAGTCCATGTAAGCATGCTCATTTGCTCAGTACAAGCCAAGCAGCAAATTGGGGGGCCATGTGACCCCCCACACACACACACACACATCATCTCTTTTTACATGCCAGGCAACCTCCTAACTCATGGGCTAGGCCTATTTCCTTGTCCAACAGTGGTCCTAGAGGGGAAGGCAACTGGTGGTCGGATCCTCCCTTGCAGAGAAGCAGCATGATCCAGTAATTAGTACACAGCTGGGATTCAGGCTCTGCCAAGGCCTTGTTGTAGGCAGATCAGTTAACTCCCCTGTGCCTCAGATTCTTTATCTTTAAAACAGGGATAGTGATACTTACTCACTTTGGATGAAGTACTTTGAGATCTATGGATACAAATTATTCCTACATATTGTTATTATTCTGGCAGCTCTGGGATCTGTTCCTCCTGAGGCCAGCCCGGTTTAAGAAGAGATTCTGTTTAAGAGGCTCCATTTTTAAATTGTAAACCAGTACTTAGTTTCTAGTTTTTAATTAGTGCATTTTGTGACAGCTACAGTCTGGCTATAATGATCACCCCTGGGATATTAGAGGAGAAAGAATGAACTGCATGACCTTTTTCTTCCTAAACGTCACTCAGCCACCAAGTTGTGAGGCAATCCACTACAAATAATCATTTGAACCGTCTAGAGATGGACAATTCCCATGCCTCATTCGCTATCCAGTTTACTTTTCAATTATTTATTCATAATTTCAGCTAAACCACAGTTAAAATTGTCCAGAACTTGTCTGCCAGATCAAGTAACATATATCCCTTACCATCAACGCAGTTCATTTTGAAGGGCAATATAACTAAGAGACGGAGAATAAAATGACACAATAAGCAGTCATATGCAGGAATGGAGCGATCCTGCTTCCAAATGTTGACTTTTGTAGAATATAGTACCTCCAGCAGATGGACCCCCGTTGTTCTCTCTCTGTGTCTTTATTGTTCACTGGCAAAAAAAAAAAACTCCCATCAGTCCTTATTCAAAACTCCCAGAGCAGAAGAAAGGCTGAGCCTGAAAATATACCCCCCAAAGTATCCTTTCAGGGGGAAAAAAGGGTTCATGTCTCCAGGGTTTTGTCTTCAGCACAGACCAGCAGATGGATGTCTTTGTTTTCACAATCAGCACAATCCAGGGCCCTGGTGTCTTTCATTTTCTACTTCTCAAATCCAACCCAGCTTGATGAGTCCTGGTTGTAGGAATACTTTAATAGTGTGCTGGTGAGCTCTCAGTGGCTGCGATTGCTTTCTGGGAGCAGTGTCCCCCCTCTCCTCATTGCAACTGGTGTCCCCCTAGGAGTTGCACTCTTCACAATGGCAGGATAGGATGTAACGGTACGTAGCAGTGAGCCTCATGCCACCTGAGCAGCGCAACCTCATTGCTTTCAGCTTGGAGGTCTGGGGCCGGCAACAGTGGCAGGTAGAACGGAATGGTTGTTTTAGGACTGTGCTGAAGGAGACCATCGGCTCAGAGCGTGATGTCTGACTGCAGCGTCCCTCGCAGCGAGCCAGCAGCACCATCTGCAAGTTAGAACAGAGAAGAGTTAGGAAACATACACACTGTGTTAGTGTGTGGCCAGGGAATACAGACATGGAGTTCAATCAAATGTAATTGAATTTAAGTGTCTCAGGATTAACTGGGAAACACCTGGTGGTGGCTCTTGACTACCTAGTATGATGCAGAACAGTAATAATGGACTATGTCCAGTCCAGATTGTTCAATGTTAAGTTGTATTTTATGTACAGTCGTTTAGAAGAAAGCATCATCAGCGTCCTTGAGTTCTGGACATCATCATCCATTGGGGATTTGGGGCCTGGTCTTCAGAAAGCCAGGGCTTGTGTTTCAAATACAGTTGTATGTGCAATTACTGCAACTGTGCCTTGGCCTGAGCTCTCTGAAAATCAAGCCCTGAAATCATAACTGACCAATCAGGTCGTGACTCTTAGTTGGCTAATATTTAGCATTTCTAGTTAATAAAACAGGTGGTCACCAGAGCTAGCTTTTACAGTCTGTGCATCCCTTAGAAAAATAAAGGAGAATTTCAACTTTCTTATTTTTTAAAGTAAGTTTCCAGACCTTTTCTTTGCAAAGATCTCCTTAAAGAGGTAAATCAATATAATGTAATGAAGATATAATGTAATGAAAATATAAACCAATATAAACTCTTTGCTGGGTTTGAAAGCTTATCACTGACTTTTCCTAACAATATTAAAGGCCCACTGGTCTTTCTCTTCTTCCACTGAATGAACTGTGAATAGACGAAGACATGTTACAGACCTGGAAAGAACTAAAGAGCTTCCATGGTGATTACCCATTTATTTCCCTTCCAAACAATCTACTGTCCAGCTGTGGAGAAGAGTAGAAACTGTGTTAGGCCCTGTCCAAAGGACAAAAAAAGGGTGCTTTTTAAAAGCATGTTAGCTAACTCGAGTTAAGGGTTATTTCAAACCACAGTACAGTAGTTAACAGTTTGTGTAGACACAGTCAGTATTTAACAACTTTAAACCTATACCATGGCCAACCAGCATGATTTTACAGCTGGTAATTGCTATGCTTACACGAGGTGTTTCAAACTAGATCAGCAAACTTCAGTTAGCCAAGACAGATTCATAGATTCCAAGGCCAGAAGGGACCATCGTGGTCATCTAGTCTAACACAAGCTATTGAACTTCCCAAAAATTCCTAACTTTGTCTAGCTCCAACTTCCAGCCACCAGACTGTGTTATACCTTTCTCTATTAGACTGAAGAGCCTTCTGTTATCAAATGTTTGTTTCCCATGTAGGTATTTATAGATTGCGATAAAATCACTCCCTAACATTCTCTTTGATTCGAAACAGATTGAGCTCCCTGAGGCACGTTTTCCAATTCTTTATCATTCTTGTTGCTCTTTTTCTGAACCCTCTCCAATTAACATTTTAAGTTTAATTTTTTCCCCAGAATCCTGAGAATGCCTAATTTGTGCCACTATATCTTTTATCTGATTGCAAGAATTCTTTTTCAATGATTAATACAAAAGCATTTCAACTGAAATGTTACATGATCCATCATGGGATACATTACCATGTGGTGAAGAATAGCTGCAAATGATGGTGTTCTTAGCATGGGAATGTTTATACATTTTTGGCTCCACTGTCCTAAAAAACAAAATCTTTAATCTCACCTCTCTCTGCCTAATCCTGCCGGTGTCACCAGAAGCACCAGAAAACAATGGAACTGGAGAACGGAACTGGGGACAGGATAAAGATTACACAACATAACTGCAAAGCAGAATTTTTCATGTGCTCGCAAGAAATCTATTCAGAGCTGATACTAATACTAGTCTTCCACAAAAAAGACACTTTTTTTCAATAAAACTGCATTGTAATTGTTTAGTTAGCTTAATACATTTAACATAGTGATTTTAAAACAAAGCATCACATCACACTTTGCAGATCTTACCATTGCAAAATTTTGCTCAGGTATCAATGGAAAGATAGGCTTCCTAGTGCATGGTAATTTTTAAAACTATGTTTTTCCTTACAGCCCCTATTTATAGATTACAGTGTACATTTTAAGAGTGGCACTGCATCATGGGAATCATAAACTTTGCTGGAAAAAAAAGTAATCAGAATTCACATTTAGATGGCCTTTTAAACTCTTGGACTAACCTGTAACTTAACCGACTCCTCTTAAATTCCCAAACAGCACCAGTATATTTTGGCAGGTGTGCAAATGAGCTGGAAATAGCATGTACTTCAGAAGCTTTGCTTTGCCATTTAATCAATTGCAGCAGCTGTTTATTGCATTGTATACTATAGTGAAATAGAGATTATTACTCCATTAAATAATTAGTAATGATATGATGGCACAGCACACTAACAGAGTAAGTATATATTTAGTAGAAATATATGGGTGTTTTATAACCCAATATCCAGGTGTGAGTTCTCCTCCTCCCCTACATAACCATGTACATGTCATATTTTAATGCTATTCCGGAAGTACTGGGGTGACCATATTTCCCTATGCTGAATATGGGACACCTGTAAATAAATAAATAAATAAATAAATAAAAATGACTCGTATTCAAGTGAGTTCAGTGGCAATCAATCAGAACTACACAGTACAAACATTCAAATTAAAATCAAGTTGACTGAGCCCCTGTTAAAAAGAAATACTGTGTAGTTGGATTCTTTTTATTTACCTTCTTATCTTTAAGGCTTTAGGGTTCACACGAGGAGGGGTGACATACACCCCTTAAATGCCCCACACACACATGAGGAGAGGAGACATACACACACTCCCGTACACCTCTCTCACATGGGGGGAAGGGGGTGATCGACCAACCCAAACCTCCCTGCCTGGTGCTCCCTGCCGTCCACACCTGGCTGGGCCCCCTGGACGGACCCGTCTCTCCTGGTGCCTGGTGCCATGTCTTCCTGAGGCAACACGTGGGGGGGGGGGCACACAGGGTCACATGCCCCCTGCCCCCGGATTTCTGCAAGGTTCACACCAGAATGTGGCCAGCAGCAGCCTTTCAGCACTGTGTGGGATGGAAGGGACGGGAGCTGCTTCCAGCCACAGGGGAGGAGGACAGGGGGAAGTGATAACCTAGTATGTATCTTTGCAGAGCTCATCTCTTCCCTCCCCCCACCCTCTGTGTGGCTGGAAGCAGCTTGTCCCTTCCTGCCCTCACAGTGTCGAAAGGCAGCTAATACCTCCAGGCTGCTGCTGGCCACCGACATAACCTAGTTTAATCCAACTACAGTGTGGGCAGGAAGGCTGCACTGTGCACCAGGGCCCAGGGAACCTGACTGAAGGGGCTTCAGTGAACCCGGCCAGAAAGGTGGCTCCGCAGGGGAGGGTGCCTAGGGGATGGTGCAGCCCCATGTTCCATGGAGGCAGGACCCAGGGTGGGGGCTGAGGTGCTAAACCCCTGCCCCAGTGGCTGCTGTGGAGCCTGAAATTGCTCCCCCCACCCACCCCCGCCACTCCAGAGCTTAGCTGAGGGGCGGAGAGGCTTCCCCGTGCCAGCGCTGTGCGGGGCTTTGGCACACACAGGGTTCGGCTCCTCCTGGCCAGCGGCCTGGTCCAGAGGGTCTTGGGCTTTCCTGAGGTGCCGGCCCAGCCAGAGGCAGTGGGGGAAGGAAGGAGCCTGCTGGCCAGGCTGTTGGTGAGCTCAGCGCTCTAACCGGGGGCTGGTTCCCCACACAGCACTGGGAGTGGGATGTGCCCCGCTGGGGGGGCGGGAAATATGGAGGAGCAGCAGAGCGGGGCGGGGGTGAAGGGGCAAAGCAGGGAGAGGACAGCAAGAGGGGAAGCACATAAAGGGCCGATGGGTGGGCAGCCAAGGCGACACGTAACTGGCTGCTGCCTGGCGCCTGCCCGCACACAACAGCCACTGCAGCGTGCAGCCAGCGCTGGCCAGAAATGGGATGAGGGGGAGCCCAGCTGGCCAAGAGCTGGCACGCAGAGGGACTGTGCTGAAGGACAGTCAGGGGGAGTGGCCATCCCCTCGCGCTGCAGCTTTGCCCCGCCACCAGCCTTGCATACCCACCCCCATCGTTGCCCACTGGACAACTGGATCTGGCCAGTAGTACTGATGGGGGGGGGAGACAGAAAATATGGGACAATTTGCCCGTTTTTAAGAACAACTCAGGACACCTGCAGGAGAGCTTAAATACAGGACTGGCCCTTTAAAAACAGGACGTCTGGTCACCCTAGGAAGTACAGTACCACTTTTCTAATGCAATATAGGAATGACGGGGAGGATCATGATTGCCCCTCTGTACTGGGATTGGATGAGCTAAGCAAAAACCCCATCCTAACTTACAGTCAGCAGAACTCAACTATTCTGAAGGTTGGTTGCAAGGAGCGGGAGTAGTTCTTATAACAAGTTCAGAGATAATTACAAAGGGGCCTAGAGCTTTTCCCTAACGCAAACCATATCCTTTTTGGAATTCAAGCTTTTATTAGTGGTAGTATTTCTCATTTGCACATTTCCCGTGACTGGCTGGGCCTGATGGTGGACATGCTGAAATATGTGTCCTAATTTTACGTCCATAGTACTTCTGGCCTGGCATCGAGCTAGGATTACTGCAAATCTCATGGGATCTTTTTCCACTACCACTATTATCTTAACCATACACTAAAAACTCTTCTTACAGTATGTCTGTATCCAGCCTGGCCTCATTATTCCCAGATGTCACTTGCAGCACTCTTTTGGCACATCCAGAAAGAGTGCCTTATGACAGTAAAGTAATTCAGGAGGTACTGATTTAAGAGTCATTGGGGATTCTGTGCCTTAGGGTCCAATAAGTCTTGGTGGCAGAGGTAAGATGGAAGCTAAGACTGGTCAGGGAATTCAATTCATTATGAGCTGAAACAAATGCTTTGCTTTAGGTCAAAATAGAAGAACCTTGTCTTTTAGGGTTGAATGACCTTCTAGTGCAGGGGTGGCCAACCTGAGCCTGAGAAGGAGCCAGAATTTACCAACTTACAGTGCCAAAGAGCCACCGTAATATGTCAGCAGCCCCGCATCAGCTCCCCCCGGCTCTTCTCCCAGAGCCTCCTGCCACCGGCAGCCCCGCCGATCAGCGCCTCCTCCTCCCTCCCTGCACCTCCTGATCAGCTGTTTAGTAGCATGCAGGAGGCTCGGGGGGGGGGGGCGAGCGAGGGCACAGCAGGCTCAAGGGAGGAGGTGGGAAGGGGTGGAGTGGGGGCAGGGCCTGTGGCAGAGCCAGGGGTTGAGCAGTGAGCAACCCCCAGCACATTGGAAAGTTGGCACGTGTAGCTCCAGCCCTGAAGTCGGTGCCTATACAACGAGCCACATATTAACTTCTGAAGAGCCGCTTGTGGCTCCGGAGCCACAGATTGGCCACCCCTGTTCTAGTGTCTCTTCTTGGTGTCTCTTCTACATACTGTATATAGCATATTACTATGTTAGTTTCTCAGTCCCGAGGCCTGTGTTCAACATCTGGTTGAGGTCACAAGTAAATGGGATTTGATCAACTGAATTGCATTCAATGGACATATTAAGTGTCACAGAAACACCTTCCAAATGGACCCAACTGGCAGCCTCGAAGGTGAAAACAAAGCACTTGATATATTTTAGGACATAATCCTGCATTAGCCCAGAATGGAGAAGAAAACCTAACAGGGATTTTCCATCTCTAATTTTGATGATTGTATGATGCAGTAGCAGGGTAACACAGATCAGGATATAGGCCCATTAGCAGAACTGTGCAGAAAAGGAGGTGTGCAGTGGAACAAAGCCATCACAGAAAAAAGGATACAAATCTATGGTTGAAATAGATTATCAGTCTGTGTTCTACAAAGAAACAGTACAAGGGGTAAAAAACACACAAAAAACACACAGCTAATCCAACAGAAACTCAGTGTTTCTACACTAAATATAAAGAACATACCATACCTATATATTTCAAACTACTATTTTATCAGACCATATTTTAAGACAGATTCTGAGGCCAATCTGCATAAGGGAATCTAATACTGTGCTAGTAGTGTATGGTAGCTTCAGAATAGTCACTCTCACAGTAGCAATGTCCTGGATCTACAAGATCTTAACAATATGAGCTGGTTGAAAAACAGTTTCATAGGAAATTTTCTTTTTTATTCCATTTTGCAGGGTTTGAAATGGACCCATTTTCCAGCTTACGTGAAAGTTCCCACAAGATTTTTATAGAAACTTTTAAATTCAAATGTTTAACAAAACCATTTTCAAAATTATTATGGAACTTAACGATTGCAAACAAAATTTTGATTAAAAAATAGATGAAGATGTCATGGAAGCTTTTGCGAAATGAAAAATTTCAAAGATGTCACCAATTGTTCCACAAGAAGTTCTGTTTTTGAAGACTCATTTTTCATCAGAAAACCTTTTTGTGCCAAAATATTCCCCCCAACTCTATTAATAGTTAAATAATAAATCTATTAATGAGGCCAGAAGAAAGCAGCACTACATCATCCCAGTGACCGTAAATGCATTATCCAATTAAAAGGGCTGGTATCCCTAAGGATTTAGTGTGAACACATTCCATTTACAATCAGAGAAATCAGATAAACTTTGCAAGATCTTGGACTGAAACCAGTATTGTCAACCTCAAAAATTGAAAAATCATGAGTCACAGCCCTGCCTCCCTACAAAAAATCATGCCATTGGCTTAAAAATAATGATTTTTTCTAAATTTGCCTTTTGATTTCTGAGTCTTTACAGTATACTCACTCCACATTGGCTTTTCTCTGCCACCTGGAGGACTAGAAATTTTTGCTTTCAAGTGAAAGCAGAGATTTTCGTGTGGTCTCTCATCTCCAACATTGGGGATTAAGAAAAACGTCACAATAAAATTGCAAAAGCTGGCAACATTATGAAACTCATACATTCCAATCCAGGATGCCCACAGGGTAAGGGCATAGTAGAAAGAGACACCCAAGCAATACTATAATGAAAACTGCTGGCTCCTTACTGGCAATGGAATTAATCCTGGTGGGCTCCAAAATCCCTGCAGCACAGGAAAGGGAAGGACTGCCAGAGGGGACATGGCTCAGGAGGGAATTAAAGGCTGTGAATGAGCAGGACTAGTAGGCAGGAGCAGCAGCCTAGGAGCTGTGGCTGAGGCTGGGCATTTTAGGTGTTGAAGGGCTGACAGCCTGGCTAGGAGGGACAAGTTGAAGCTGTGGCTGATGGTTAGGGGACCCGGGGACAGGCCTGAATGAAAGGACTAGACTCTTTCCAGGCGATCTGCAGGCCAGTATGTGATTGCCTCCAGGAGAGGGACAGCCTGATCGGAATATCCCCAGCCCGAGACCTGCGGAGCCTCACCTTTATACTCCTGTGCTGAATTGCCCTACAGGCTGAGTTGGGAACCTGTTGTGTTCATCATCTTTTGTTTGTAACTTGAACTGCACTTTGTATTTCTGGCAGCCCTAATAAAGCAACCCTTTCTTATTCATTAGCAACTGTGGGCATTTATGGAAACTCACTGAGGGGAGAGCTTGAAGGGCCTCTTCTCTTTTGTTGATCCAGGGAGCGGAGGAGGCCATTCAAGCAGCCAACAGAGAGCGGGGTGGTCAGCAGAGCTGGGTGAAAATTTTTGGACAAAATTTTTGCCAAAAAATGCAGATCTGGGTCAATCTAAACATTTTGTGAGTTTGTGTGGAATTCGCTAACTTGTTTCAGTTGAAAAACGAACAACAATTCTGAAAAAAATTAAACACTGACATTTTCAACATGACGTTTCTGTTGTTTTATTCAAAATGACTTCTTGTTTTGAATTTTTTGGCAATTTTATTTTTCAAAAAAAGGTTTAAAAAAGCCTCAAAAACACAATGGAACATTTCTTTTGACACAATTATTCCCGTTCCCCGTCCCCCCAATTTTTTGGTTCAGTCATTGAATTTAAAAAATCAGTTAGTCACGCAGTTCTAATGGTCAGACCATTGGCCACATGTTTGAATGCGTGCTGTGCTAACTTTTTCGAAGGAAATTAGGACAGGGAGAAAGGGATCAGTAATGGTTCTCTCACTCTATGTCTTTCTTCGTGCCTCACTTATAATTCATGTCAGAAGCTAATGTAGACTATATACAGAGGCTAATATAACACTTTGGCTCAAAGTTTTCCAAGCTTGAAATTTCAAATGAAAGACAGAAACATGAGTGAATGCAAAACAGCCTAAGCCAAAAGTAGTGATCCCTCTGAAATTTGGTGGAAAAGCAAAATTGAGAGGTGCAAAAATCACGAGAAACTAAATATTAAAAAAATTTGAGTAAAGTTTTTCAGAATCTTTTTCATTACTTTTATATAGCTTAATTCTTTACCTCAAGCACAGCCTGTCAAAATGCATGTCTTTATGCAATCCATATTAACTGAGCTTGACCCAAACCAAAACTGGATCAGAGTCTGTAGGAAGTTTGGACAGTGATGATATGACCTTCACAGCTAGACCCCTCCCTGTAATGGGCTGTGTCAAAATCCTGAGCAGTGTTAGCTAGTGGTCAGAGCACTGGACTTGGACTCAGGAGACCTGGATTCTATTCGTGGGTCTGCCAGCAGCCTGCTGGGTGACCTTGGGCAAGTCACTTCACTGCTCTGTGCCTCAGTTTCCCCATCTGTAAAATGGGGATATTGATGCTGCCCTCCATGATAAAGTACTTTGAGATCTCCCAAGGAAGTTTCCTGGTACAGTCCCAACACCAAAGGACAGTTCAGATCTGGATGAGAATTCTGTGGCTCAGGTATCTGTCTACATATCACCATTTCTTCTCATTTCTTCAGAATCAAATATTCCCTCTGAGTGGAAAGTTGAAAGGTGATCTGAGATTCCAACCTTAGGAGCACTGTACAAGCAACTCAGCTTCAATCTTGCTCCTTTTAAAAGTGAATCTGATAACTATTTTGCACAAGTTCACATACTATGCTGTTGAGAAAGCACAGAACTTCTGATCTAAGCATTCAGGTTCCTGCTCTACGTTTTTTGGTACTAATATTTCACATCAGAATAATAATTATTATTAGTTGGTTTCAGAAATATTCTTGATAACAAAGTCCTGGTATCATATTTTAAACAGGTACTTACCTTTGAGTTACACTTGTACAATGGATGACTGATGGAATCAACATAATGATGCCTCATACAGCGACCTGGGTCTGAGTCAGTCATGAATGAACTGTCCGTTTTACTGTCTGTGTCTCCCATTATTGCAAGAAGAGAGAGCATGGAAATTGAAGCCGCTAGTACATGATTTCCCATTGCTGAAGAACTTCTCAATAATAACAGCAGAGGGAGGTAGAGTATTAAAAGAACTCTAAATGCTGGGACTCAGTTCCTTTCAAGGCAGATGAAAAACCTGGTTTAAGTCTCTTGGTTGTCATTGTTCTTTTTAAGTTGGAGTTTTGTTGGGGTTGTAATCCATCAAAGAATCTTCTATGTGGCTGGAACAAAAACAACATAAATTACAGTCCTGACCCCCCCAAAAGCCTGCAAGATAAAAACAAACATAAATAAGGCTCACAGGATTTCTGCTAGCCAAAATATTTTTCACTGCATGAACATCATTTTCACTGTAGGTACAGTATACGAGATGATGATGGAGAAGTTCAAGGCCCTGTTACTTTAAGCACTGCTCTATCATTTTAATAATGATGATATTAACTTTCATTATCACAAGTAATACCAACGCTTTTTACTTTATAATGTCTCCAGTGGGTTCATTTCAATACTGATGGTTTGTAACACAATTTAGGATTTCTGCAAATGAAAGAGCCTGCCTTCACTTAAAATGCTGAAGGGCATATTTCAAGGGACTAAAATAAACTATCTTCTGCATTAAAAGATGGAAATTCTGGCTCAGGTAGCATGTGAAAATGTATTTGGTGGTCTCATCCCCGTCTCTAGTGGTCAGACATCCATATCAACAAGCCATCACACAATTTGGAATAAGCGTCAGTCTCTATTCAAGAGAGGCCTGTGACTGGAATGGAGGGATGTTGCAGGTCAAAGCTGAGGTTACATTAGCAGTGTGCTCTCAGGGTATGTCTACACGGCAATTAAAAACCCCTGGCTGGTCCATGCCAGCTGACTCGGGCTCACAGGGCTTGGGCTAAGAAGCTGTTTAATTGTGGGGTAGATGTTCAGGCTCAGGCTGGATCCCAGGCCCTGGGACTCTCCCCTGCTGAGGGTTCTTGGAGGGGTGGGTCCCAGAGCCCAAACTCCAGCCTGAGCCCAAGCATCTACCCCACAATTAAACAGCCCCTTAGCCCGAGCCAGTTGGCATGGGCCAGTCAGGGGTTTTTAATTGCAGTGTAGAGATACCCAACAGGGAAGGTTGCAGAGCACCTACCCGCATATCTGGTTCTGGTTAGTGGTCTTGGATCTTCACTTTCATGAGCACCAAATTCACACACAGAAAGGTTTAATTTTTTTTACTTGTTTGCTCATCTGGTTGCGCTTCCTGAGCTTTACTCTCTCCCTGCCATTACTTAAGGAACAAGATCTGAAAAATACATTGAACTGCATAACCTCCAAGTACATCCCAGCGATGCTTTGGGAAAACATATCTGCAGATGAAGTCACACAGATAGCCACATGGTCATCTGGATTTCTGGTCCATGTCGGAAAATAGGAGAAATCCCCTGGACAAGAGAACATAGCACCCCCACCAAAACTGTCTGGAACAATGTCCTTACAAGGTAAGTATGGCACTTCCCTAAACTTCTCCATCACAATCCCTTGAAAGATCTGTTATGAAGCCAATAGTCTTGAGCTGGCCATTTAATTTTATATTTATTACAGATATAACCTGATGAAACTGTAAATTATTGGACTAAACATAACTTTAGATAGCAAAGGAAGCTGGTAAGCAGCATTAAAATAGGTGGACTTTCTGAACAGATATAGTTGATGTGATAAAAAAAATATTTCTCACAGAGCTTGTTGCCCATTTGATAATATAATGTGGGTTTTTATTGCCTTTCTGCTTTGCTGACTATTTTGTTTAAAGGATGTTGTTAAAAAGATTTCAATATGAAATGAAATTGAAAGGCATCGAAGAACTGCAGAACTAAGTGTTTGTGTGTAGTCTTAGAGGCTGCTTTTACACTTTTGTAAAGAAAGGCGAGTGCATAGCTGTGGTGAGCTGTTCCAGAGTTTATATAAGTTTGCAGCCAATGTTCTTCAGGCTAAACCTGGACACATGAAGTCTCTACCTACAAAGAAATGTAATTCTAAAATGTGAAAAATATTAGTCGGGCTATTCTTGTATTAGATGTAAGGGAAAAAATGCTTTTTTGCTTTCACGGCAATGTTCACTTGCTGATAAAGAAAAGGAAGGATAACTTTAATGTAAACTTGCATATGTTACAGACACCAACTCTTTCCCTTGCCTTGAGATATTTCCCAAGCAAATGGTTTTCAGCTGACGAGAACTGACATTGAAAAAGAGATATTGTACAAGCAAAGCAAAAACTTGAAAACCCTAAAGTCTTTAAGAACTCAGATTTGTTTGTGAACTGTCCTACTGATGTCAATGAAACATTTGCCGAGAATTTAGCAAGATATGACCGAAATCCAAGACATTGAGCTGATCCCTGCGTAGAATAGGAATGTGCCATTGTTTGTCATTAAGATGATCCCTGAGCATTATTTATCACAAAGAATAGAGCACGCAGTCTTTTACTCTTCTTCTTAGCTCCCTCTGCTTACCTAACATAACCAAGCTGGCCAATATATTGTTCTTGGAAAGGTCTCTCTCCAAAATAATTAACTTGTATTACTCACTCAGAAATTCCCTCTCCACCCAAATACATTTACCTCTAACCCCACACCCCCATTTGCACCCCCAGTAAATATATGCCCAGAGGGCCTCAATTTCCACTATATGGGTCCCAACACATTTCCCACCTACGAGCTGCCTTCCATGTCTTCACATTGCTTTGCATGTAGAGTGGTATGACTGTTGAAGTTAATAACTATGGCTAAGACTCAAAGTCCAGACTTGATTTGGGAAGGCCCATCTCCCTGTTTTTTAAGAGATGCTTGGAGGACACAGAGACTAACTAGAAAAACACGACTCATGTAAGCCAGTATCATGGAAAGTAATAGATTGGAATGAAGGGGGAAAAACAGGAAAGGAGAAAATCTGTTAATAAAAGGATATTTTAGAATCTCCCTCCACATTGTCCACACAGAGATCACTTACCTGTAACTGAAGTCTCCTGTAGTCATCACTATACACAGACCTAGGCCCTCCTGTGTCCAAATTCAGCAGCCTGCATGGAACTGTTCCCTACCCCCACCTTTTTTGGGCCCCTGCATACCTTTCTGTCCTGGGACAGGATAGGCAGGGGACAGGAAGAAGAGGCCTACACATTATTTGTACCAACATAGTACACTATCCATGCAAAATGGTAATATAGCTCTCAGTTTGTATTAATATAGCTCTAATAAAGTGATAAAAGGGGAGCAACTATCTTAGGAAATCCTGGAGACACAGCTCCACTGGAACAAGAAGCTACATTTTAATTTGGATGTATGTAGAAGTACATATTTTAAAAAACAAACTAAAGCTATGAACTCATACCTGAAAAATATCTGATTAAAACTAGTTTTTAATGGAGCAGTCAAAAGCACTTCTCAATAAAGGCTAGTTCCCTGCCAAATTTAAATTCCCTGCTTGTAGTATTACAGGACTTTGGTATTATTCCTTTTAAGAGTTTGTGAGCCTTCTAGTGGCACTCAGTGTGTTCTAGGTTTTAGAAGCTGGCAGAACGCAGCCAGAGCAGCAGTTTGTATTCATATTGAGGCCTTGCATATTGGGTATATTTAGTAAACACAGTTATTTGGATCCCATCATGCCATGTGGTTCTTTCATTTTGAGTTTGTTGTGTACACAGCAAAAGACAAGACACTACTCAGAGTTGTGTCAACACTACAGCTGTACAGAAACAAAAAATGTCACAACATTTTCATTATTATATAAAGAATATATTTTTCACTGTTCTTATACTCAGAAATGATGCACTGATTTTGGTCAGACTTTTTTTTTAATGACTTACGGGCAACTTTATTAAGCCTGGAAAAGCTTACATCAAAAAGGATTAAAGTTTTGGAAAGTTATAAACTCCCCAAATCTGGGTGAGAATGGAACTAGTTAGGCTGTCTAAATTATATAATATATAGTTTATATAGCTATAATTATTTCAAGAGCGAGGCCAGTTAAATAGGCATTATCAAGTTGCCTCATAATTCATTCTTTTAGGGTGCAATTCTCAGTTCCCATGCAAAGAGCAATTAAATGGGCTTGGGATTGGAGGGAGAGTGAAATTATACAGACGTTGAGATAGATAGAAGCAGGACATGGGATAACCATACCCCTTTCCACAGTTGCTGTTACAGTCAATTAGCCCCCAGTAGTGGCATAGCCCGTTGAGCCCCCATAAACTGGATTTGTGGCTAGTTGATCTATGCGGCTGTTAGACTTATAGATGGCCCTCCACAACTCTGCACTCCAACCTGTCCTGTATGCTCCCACAGTGAGCTACTGGGACTCAGCTTTGTGATGGGCTGCAGAGTCCCCAGCTGCAGCATCTCTATAGCCTTACTCCCACCACTGTACTGCTGCACTTGGTCCTTCTATCACCACAAGGGGGCAGCAGCAGCAGAATTTCCCCCTTACCAGATTTATTCTTTCAGTAGTTATCCACTTAAGGTGGGAGTCATTGCATATGTCTAATTCCGAGAATATGCATTTATATTTTAAAATATTGTACCCAATCCTGCCCTCCCTTAAATTAATGGCAAAATGCCCATTGACTTCTATGGACCCAGAGAGTTTTTTTTAGTTCTATAAATAGATGATGCTGTCTTTCCATTTATTTATTTTTGCATTTCAAATTGTTATGCCCTACAAGTCTCTATATGGTCAGGGATGTGATCAAAACCCCTGCCCTGTGTTGGAGTCAAATTTTAAAATGCCCAATGAGGTCATCTTAAATCAGCTGTGCTACACTCAGCATGAAACAGGTGAATATATAGAACTGACATGGTATAAAAAAGATTTCCATTCACAACTTAAATAGTTTTTCCCCCCCTACCTGAAATGGTGCAAATACCAAATTAAACATCTGAGGCCAGATCCTTGCTGGTGTAAACCAGCATCTCTTCATTGATGTCACGAGGCCTATACTCATTTACATCAGCTGAGATACTGGCCCCACACTGACACATGGCAATCCAGGATAAATTTTGGTTGAAATCCCGGCCTCATTGAAGTCAATGGGAGTTTTGCCATTTATTGCATGGAGCAAGGATTTTACCTATTGTATACAACATTTCAATCAGTGATACTCAGCCCTCAGTGGTTCAGGAACCAAATTAGTGATCAATGTTACCCAAAAGAACCACAGTAGTGTGAATTCATAGTTTTATTTACTAT